TTGTTGATGTTGGAACTCCCCTAAATTTCTGAAATCTTCCTGAGTTCTTGGAATTTCTTCAAAATTCCTGTAATTTTTCTTGAAATTTTTCTGAAGCTGTCGAAACTTAAATGAAATTTCTGCAATTTTCCTGAAGTTCTTGCAACATCTTCAAAATTTTCGGAACTTCCCTGAAGTTCGTGCAGTTTTCTTGAAGTTCTCAGAACTTCCATATCTTTTCTGCAATTTTTTAGAAGTTCTCGTTACTTTTCAAAGTTTCTGAAATTTTTCTGAAGTTTTCGAAAGCTCCCCAAAGATCCTGAAAATTTCCTGAAGTTCTCGGAACCTCCGTAAATTTCCTGCTTTTTTTAAAAAGTTCTCGTTACTTTCTTAAAGTTTCTGAAATTTTCCTGAAGTTCTCGGAGCCTCCGTAAAGTTCCTGAAATTCCTGAAGCTGTTGAAACTTCCCTGAACTTCCTGCAATTTTCCTGAACTTCTTGGAACATATCTAAAATTCTCGGAACTTCCCTGAAGTTCCTGCAATGTTCCTAAAATTCTAGCTACTTTCTCAAAGTTTTTCTGAAGTTCCCGGAACATCCTTAATATTTCGGCAATCCCTGTAGCTGTTGGAACTTTCCTGAACTTCCTGAAATTTTCTTGAAGTTCTCAGAGGTTGCCTAAAGTTTCTACAACTTTTCTGAAGTTCTTGGAACGTATCCGAATTTCTCAGAACTTCCCTGAAGTTCCTGCAATAATTCTGAAGTTTTCGTTACATGCTCCAAGTTTTTTAAAGTTCCCGGAACCTCTCTTAAGTTCCTGCAATTTCTGTAGCTGTTGGAACTCCCCTAAATTTCTGAAATCTTCCTGAGTTCTTGGAATGCCTTTAAAGTTCCTGTAATGTTTTTTAAGGTTTGAAATCCCTGCAATTTTCTTGAAGTTCTTGGAATATCTCCAAAATTCTCGGAACTTCCCTGAAGTTCCTGCAGTTCTCCTGAAATTCTCGGAATTTCCATAAATTTCCTGTAATTTTCCTGAAGTTCTTGTTACTTTCTAAAAGTTTCTGAAATTTTCCTGAAGTTCTTGAAACTTCCGTAAAGTTCCTGCAATTCCCGCCACTTTTGGAATTTTTTTGAAGTTCCTGCAATTTTCTTGAAGTTCTCAGAGTTTCCCTGAAGTTCCTGAAAATTTCCAAAACTTCTCGTTACTTTCACAAAGTTTCTGAAATTTTCCTGAAGTTCTCGTTACTTTTTCAAAGTTTCTGAAATTTTCCTGAAGTTCCCGGAACCTCCGTAGAGTTCCTATGATTCCTGCAGCTGTTGGAACTTCCCTGAAGGCCCTGCAATTTTCTTGAAGTTCTCAGAGGTTCCCTAAAGTTCCTGAACATTTCTTAAAGTTCTCGTTACTTTCACAAATTTTCTGAAATTTCCCTGAAGTTCTCGTTACTTTCTCAAAGTTTCTGAAGTTGTCCTGTAGTTCTTGGAACCTCCGTAAAGTTCCTGCAATTCCTGCAGCTTTTGGAACTTCCCTGAAGTTCCTGCAATTTTCTTGAAGTCCTCAGAGGTTCCCTAAAGTTCCTGCAATTTTCCTGAAGTTCTTCGAACTACCCTGAAGTTTAAGAAGATCTTCTAAAAGCACTTAAGATAATGCACTATAATACAGTTACCTTGGCACCACCCTGAAGATCTTTGAACTTCTTTGATGTTCTGGAATTTGATATGAATTTTTAGGAACTTTTTTTGGTTCTTCGCTGAAGATTCTGCAAATTTTCAAACGTTGTCGCAACATTTATAACGGTCTTTGGAGTTCTTTGAAACTTTCTAGAAACTTTTGTATGCATTGCATTATGATCGCGTACGGTAGGACCCAATTTTCTACAATGTGCTAGAATTGATAAAAAGAGACAGCTTTGTTGGCCATCCTGCCAGGGGAGAGGCATTCAACTATATTAATATCAAAGGGACATATACAAGATTTAAAACATAACTAAGTGGTGACATCTATCGGTTTTTACAGTAAATAGTATATGCTAAAGGTAGAGGTAGTAGTTGTCACCTGCACGAACACATTATTTACCAGATCCGAAGCTCATGGAACTGATCTGCACTTAAGATCTCTTAACTTATCTGACGTTCTCGGGACTTCCCTCAATATCACGGAACTTCCTTGACTATAGATTATACAATAATTCTGTAGAATAATTCTGTAGATCGTGACTTCATTCGCGTGATGAGTAGACTTATGTCCAAACACTACTCGCTAGATGCTCATCTCAATAGAATAAACCTCGTGGACAGCAACATCTGTCGGTGAGGAAACGGTTACGATGACATCGATCACGCAGTTTGGCAATGTACGGATAATGACGCCGCCAGAGAGCGACTTTTGAATACCCTCGAGTCCCAAGGAAGACAACCCTATGTTCCTATCAGAGACGTGTTGGGAACTCGCAATATCTGCTATATGCAGTCGGTTTATGTGTTTCTTCAAATGTCTAGTGTAAGAATTTAATTCCTTTGTCTTTTGTCTCTCTTTATTAGTTTTTGTTTGTCTTGTCCCCCCGTCTCGATGAGTCTCATCGTCGCCCACTGATAACCATAGTCGGTCGAACTCCAGAAGAAACTAGGACCGCACTACCGTTTATACTGGCGACAACGCTCTGATGAGACAACGAAACCTTACCCCCAAGCTCCTCCCCTGATCCTTTCCTTCGACAATGTACCTCTCTAACCTCGAGTAAGCCGCGAGTATTCAACCCAACTACTACTAGACATAGAGTTGAGTGAATTTTATAACAAACAAAGTACAATGAACTATCGGCTCCGTAAAGCTAGCGCGATTGAGCCTTCCAAATAAACGGACTGGAAAAAAATCTGTAGATCTAGATCCGGTTTTTCCGGAGGCTATCTGAACTTCCTTGAAAATCTCGGAGTTTCCCTGAAGTTATCGGAACTTCACTGTAGTTCTGGAAACTTCTCTTGAATTCTCGGAACTTCTCTGAAGTTTTTGGAACTTCTCGGAACATCTTTTATAGTGTTTGGGACTTATTTGAAGTTCTCGGGACTCTCGGACTTTTCCCAAAGCTCTAGGAGTTAAGTCCATAGTACTTCCCTAAATTTCTCGGATCATTCCTGAGTTAATGTACTATGGGCGGATCTTCCATAGGGAGGGGTCATTGTAAAAATATATCCAAGAAGTGGTATATTTTGTTGTTAGAGATGTTATATCGAGAGGTTCCAACCAAATAGGATGTATCTTCCTTCTGCAAAGATATTTAGGAATACAAGGACTTCTCAACTATGTATAGTGTATAGCAGAATATACATACTAGATGGCGCGGAAACGGAAATATCCAAGTGGCATCATCCTAAATACTCATTATATATCGCTATCTACAGATCCTGCTCATATGGATGGTTTCCGTATTCAGCAAAGTTGTTCAGATGAACACCAGACAGCGCTAGTGTGTAATTAATTTTTCATTGCTGGCCTTAACTTAAAACAGGACCGTCTTCGGCAAAGTTGGTCAGATGGACAAGCCTAATCCTAAGGTTGTAGAGTTTAGTTCAAAATTTACTCACAAGACAACGCGAATAGTGAGTGAATTCTGAGCTGAACTCTTTACCATAAAATAGATCTTGTTCATCCATTTCCGAAGACAGAAACCTTCTATCTAGTTAAGATGTTAATTTAGGGCAAACAATGAAACCTTCATGTCACACTTGCGCCACCTTGAAAGTGAAATCCGAACTGAACTCTTAACCATAAAATAGGTCTTGCCCATATGAACAATTTTACCGAAGACGGGAACCTTCTATCAAGTCAAGATGTTTAAATAGGGCAAACAGTTCAAAATGAATGCTACCCGAACGCCGCCTGGTGAGTGAATTCTGAACTATACTATTTTTCTTGCGATAGATCTTATCCATTTGAACCACTTTGCTCAAGACAAGACCGATCCACATGAGCAGGATCTGTGGACAGCATTACATAATGTGTATTCAATATTGCGCAACTTCTGGCTGATATTTTAAACAGAAATCCCACAAAACTTACTTTGCAAATCATTTAAAATTTCAGCAATCCATTTAAAATTTCATCAAAATTTTTCCATGTTTTCAAGTTTTTTGGAGCAGTTTTCATCTAATATTATAAAGGTCTGGTGGACGCACCTAGTCACTTAGAAAAATCCATCGACAAATCAAAAGTTACAGCCTTTCAAAGCGGCTTGGGGTCAAATTGACTCCAAGGTACAGGCAAAGGGTTAAACATTTCTGATTTTCTCAGGTTCTTTGGGCTTCTCTAAAGATCTTGAAACTTTTTTTATGTTATCAGAACTCCTCTGAAGGTCATAGACCTTTTCTAAAGTTCTCCTAATTTCTTTAAATTTCCGAAGTGCCGAGAACATCAAAGAAGATTAGGTAATTTGAGAGAAATTTTAAGAATCGACGAACAGGTGCTTTAACATCCAGTTGTGAGGACTCAAATCGTCCAGGAGAAAATTGTCGTACCAAGCATCCTTTCTCGCCTCCTTCCCTCCTGAAATTCTTGTTAAGAATTCCAAGTGTGTAAGCTTATCCTAACCATGATTTGGCAAAGATGCAATATCCCACGATCCCACGGAATCTTTCGGGTTGGAAATATTCTCGACTTCCCTGGGCATAGAGTATCATGGTGCTTGCCACACAATATACAAATTCATGCATTGGTATTGGCATCGAAAGCTCTCAATTAATAACTGTGGAAGTGCATTTAGAACACTAAGTTGAGAGCATGCAATAAGCTAATATGCGCTAAGCAATAAGCTTGAAATGCGAACAAGAAGAAGAAGCAATATCCCACGATAGTTTGTGACACGAATCCTTTTACCAACTTTACAATCTTTAAAAAAATGCTTACATTATTTATTTGATAACAGGACCGACAATAAAACCTCATAGCAATTCATACCAACAGACTCTTATTCGCCCAAAGCATCTTCAGTCTTTCCACTTCTAAACGATTCCATTTGTTTCTATTTTCAGACCTTCAACCCGAAGACACCGATTGGTACTCGTGCGTTGCCTACTCCGAGAAGGGAGAAACGTCCTGGAGTGCATTTCTGCTGGTAAGTCCTTCCAGTGCATTCCCTTTCAATTGTTGATCGATGACTGCGGTTTCAAATCACTCCATCCATATTCTTCCATTCCATGCCTTTCTAGGTCGAGAAAAATCTCTCCACTATGCTGCACCGATCGAACAGTCCAGATTTGCTCCCGGTGGCGCCATCGATACCCAAAGCCGTCAACATCACCAACAGCAATGTCACTCTGGTATGGACAAAGATTGGCGGCGGCGGTGGTGGAGCACTGCAGGACAAACTGTGGAACAATCCCGTTAGTGGCTACATGGTGGAATTCTACAGCCCGGACGAGAAGAAGGGATGGATCCGGGCGGTGCGAGTTCCGGGCAACACTGCTACGGTAAGTTATGAGACGAATATTCCTCCTCTAATCGAACCAGAACCATTCCCCCGTCCGTTTTCCAATCAAACTCTAATCAACTTAAAACTTGTTCCAGATCACAAATCTCTCGCCGTCAACTTCGTACATCTTTGTGGTGCGGGCGGAAAACGCTTACGGTTACTCGGCTCCATCCACGCTGTCCAACGTGATCCGGACCCTCTCCGGCGACGATGGCGTCACCATGCCGGAAGAACTGGAAGCCGCCCGGATGGTGCTCAATGGCAAGGTAAGAGACAACAGACGCGAGGCAGAAAATTTCCAATCAATTTTGCCGGAAAATTAGCAGAAACCTCCGCCCCTCCCTCTCCCCCCTCTAACTACTGACTCCACGTCGTTCGTACAGTGAAGGCAGTTAGTATACCCTCTCCCCCCCGGGGAGCAAGTGGATTGAGGTTAATATTTTATCCCATTTTGCCTTTTCAAACGTTCGAAGTGTGTGTGTGTGTGTGTGAAAGATGAAACTTTCCCAACTAAACGTTGGCGGCGGTGTGCTTTTAGGAGAAAGCAAAGACGAAGGCGTAGAGCATCAATTAGATTAAGGGTGGTAGTTTTTCATGCAGCTCTTCCGAAAAAAAACATCGGACCGGATGTTGGCTGGCAGCAAAAAGTCAAAGTCTCCGAAGAGTTATCCCCATTTTATGGTAATGAAGAAGGCTAATGCAAGTCAAGAAGGCGAGACTTTGACTTAAGAAAGGAGCATCGTGGTTTTTCTGGCCAAGGACACCCGGGAAAACGGTCTGCTCCACGATCTGACTTTATTATTTGGATTGTTTATGGTATACCCGGAAGTGGGTTGGTGGGTGGGACCACCCGGTGGAACGAAATTAGACGAATTAAAAGGAAATAAATTAAACTCGAGGAAAGGAGACGCAGCCAAAATGTTCCGGAGCGTTTGTTCTTTCTTGTGTTTGAGATAAATTACGTTTGAGATTGATGTGCTTTCGGGTGAAATGTTATCCGAGGTGGTCCTTCAGTGCTGACAGGGAGGAATTTCGGGGAATTTGCAAGATTGCTTTTTGTCTGCTTGCATGATCTAGTGGTTTCAGCAAACACTTGAGCTTCAGAGGAATTCATGGGAGTTTTTGTGAGTAGTATGCTTTAATGAGAAGCACACTTTGTGTTTCGGCTTAATTAGATTTTTGTCTGATTGGACAGTTGATTTTGGAGGTAAGGTGGGTAAGAAAACAATTCAAAACTCTATGCGTCAACTAGTTCTCTTTGGATCTTGCAAATTTCTTCAAGACTGGATCATTCAATATTTCGGAAATTTAGTGGGTTCTCAGTAATTTGAAAACTTAAATCCTGGATCTTGGATATTTTTTGAACCCTCAGAATGAGAAGATTCCTAGTCCCAAAATGTTTATGAAATTTTTAGCGATGTAGCTAAAAATGTTAAATCCTACATCGAGGAATTCCAATAACTTAAAATATTTGCGGATTGCGGATTGAAAATGTTGCAAAGTTAACAAACTTTATTAATTTACCAGGTTCTAAAATCTACAATTTTATTGGGGAAATGACGGCTTCGGCATGACAGACTATTTTCGGCAACACAAATTGAAACACTATTTTCACTGGATTTTCTTACGAAAACACTTCGCTGAATGCATGCAAACGATTCTTTATGCTTTCAGCTTCAATTTGACTATATTTTTACTACTTAGAAAAAGCAATCTAGCAAGGTTTTCTTGAAATGCAACACACGCACTACAAATTGTAGCTGATTTCGAGTTGCCGATAATAGAACAGCAGATTTACATGCAGTTCAAATGGAACGGTTGCCGAAGAAAAACTGGTTGCCGACAATACTCGCTCTCACTAGAGAAGATTGGAGCTTTGTAAAAGCGTTTCAAAACAGTGTTTGACAATTCTTTCGACTGAAATTGTTAACGCAGCTGGCAGCAAAAGATTGTAAACAAACCAATACTGCATATGTGTGCGTTCCTTAGAGAAAAAGGCTATAGAAAGAAGGTCGCTGCTTAGGTTGCCGAGAATACGTCAATTCCCCTATTTTAAATCGGGAATTCAAGATAGCATGAGCATTGATGACCATATTCATCAAAATCAGCACAAAGAACCCAATGATTTAGGGATTGGCAATCCATTCTCAGTTCCACCCAGAGAATCATTATTAGCCAAATCAATAGCGGCTGCTTAGCAGGCTTGCCTCAACTCTTCGAACTCAGATTATGCCGTATAGATGCTCATTCATCGTGAGCTAGTTCATACCTCAAATAAAGAGCAATGATGTCAAATCCAAAGAGCGCAAAGGAGCTCGTGCTCATATTGATGCTCAAGCTGGACTTCCACAGACACGCATGACGATTAGCGATGTGGGGTTCGTTCTTGAGTGCGACGTGATTTACATCGGCTCTGCTCACCAAACAACATTTTGAACTTCGGGATGAACTCGGTGAAACCGTAAATATAGAGCTTCGTTATGCATCCGGAGAGAGCACGCATGGTTCTTCCATTCAATATTATGATACACAGCAATACATTCAATCGATTATAGGACCATTCCCAGAGAACGTAACATTTTGAGAGATTAGGTTTTGACGTAGGACTACGTCTGTGATTTCTATATGGGGCTTCACTTTGTGAAAACCGAAAATGGAACATGTAACAACATTATGAAAGACTTTGAATGTTAATAACTCAGCTGCCCCTGGACCAATTTCAATAATTTTAACACCAATCGATCAGATATATTTCTACGCATCTGTTAAATTTAAAATTTTATAATTTTTCAAATGTCACTATTGAAAATTGAACGAATGTACAACTGTTGCTATAATAATTAAAATTATCACCGATTGCCTGCGAAAAGCGATTTCCCTAACACAGATTTCAAAGTTGAATTTCATCCGGTCTCTCCAGTACACAACGAAAGTCAGCCTGCAAGCAGCGAGCTGCAGCCCACATGAGCATCCATAGAAGAAGGAAGATGCCGCACCGCTATTGATCGGAATCAGTAGTTCTTTGTGAGTCACTGTGGGCCATCTATGTCAAGTGCGTCATACTAAATAGTATAAACAGAGAGAACCCCGCTCAAATTCCAATTCCTACACAAAATACAACCTCCTGTTGCAGTTAACAAATAAGATTTATTATATAAGACCACGTAGTCCTACGTCAGCATTGCATACAACCCCATAGGGCTGTCCCTTGAAGTTTTTTTTTAAACTTGGGACCACTTTTTGGGTTCCTCAATCTCAGTTACAAAAATCTTTGATCGTATTTTTCCGCTAAGTGCTTCATGAGTGGATAAACGAAATTATATTTCTGACTTAGAAAGTACGAGGGAAAAATTAGTTAAAGCACTAATTACTCCGTTAATGGATCATCCCTTGGAGATGTTTTCGTATTCTCCTGTTGCCTTTTAAGGTGATTCTCTGTATCGCTCTTTTTCGTGTCGTTCTACTTGTTGTTTGCTGCGGAGAAGCAAGCAATGTCTGAAATTTGCAGATGTATATTCCTCGTAGATCTTGAGTTGTGTGCTCTTGAAATTGCGAGGTATGTTGGAAAATGAACTCTACTAGGAAACACGTGTTCATTAATTCAATTTGCTACCCTCACTGCACACACGGTAGCTCGGAAATCTTTCTGGACCAACAATTGAAATAGGCGGAACAACCCAAGGTTTTTAACAACTTTTGTAACAATGGCTTCTGTCGATGATTTATAGGAATTCTAGGCACGCCGTCGAGTAGGGGAAGTCTTACCCTACCTGATGGTGATGTTGATTTGTATGGGCGAGTCTTGACTTTCATCATCGAAAGAAGTCATTGTTTACAAAAGCTGTTACGCCCTAATCCAGCTTGCGTGGAGCCTTTCGTTGTGTACCGAAGAACACCACCACTCACCACGCGGTGATTGAACAACACCGTTTGGTGAGACCGGATGGAATTTTAACTTTGAAATCTATGTTAGGGAAATCGCTTTTCTCAGGCAATCGGTGATAATTTTAATTAACATAGCAACAGTTGCACATTCGTGCAATTTTCAATAGTGGCCTTTTGTAAAATGAAACTCAACAGATGCGTTTGAATATTTCTGATCGATTGGTGATAAAATTATTGATATTGGTCCAGGGGCAGCTGAGTTATTAACGTTCAAAATCTTTCATAATTTTGTTACATGTTCCATTTTCGGTTTTCACAAAGTGTACCCCCATATAGAAATCACAGACGTAGTCCTACGTCAAAAGAGTTTCTGGTAGCCTTATTTTCTGTTTTGTTTTGGTTATGCGTTCCATTTCGCTTTTCTCCATTCCAACTGCTAAATGTCGTTTGAGCAATAATTTGCACAGCGTGCAGATTAGTGCTCAGATGAAAAACGGTCAGATTACCGGGAGTCCACGGTATTATTTTTAAAGCTTCGGTGTCTTCTGGATTTTTGGAGCATATAATGTCTGATCTCGCGAGGAAAGTAAAGCCGTTCGTCCCTGGCCCATGAGTTGATGGGTTGATAGGTAGGATCCAGGTGTGGGAGCTGCCTCCCTGGCATGGGTAGCATTGTTACTCAGTACGGCAAACAAGACCGACGGAAAACAAATCAAGGAAAAAAGAAAGAGGTTGTATTCAAGACACGACCGTAGATTTGACGTAGGATTACGTTTTCGGTATCAATATTCGGCGACTGTGGTAGGGAAATTACTTTTTCCCATCACGGAAACGCCTCGCTTTCTAATGACATAATTACGCATTTTCGGTCATTACGAGAATTTGTATGTACCACTTCAATACTGTTACGCATTTGAACACAAACGTTTGGTTGCTAGGTACATTATTGGGGAGCATTAGGTACGATGTGGCTGGCAGCAAGGCAACAACAATAATTAACGATGGTCCTGAAAAGAACCGTTTTGTCGTGATGGTTGAGCAATGCTGAGCTATTAAGGTGTTCAACACGGATGAGACTGGCAAGCTGTATGTTGTTTGGAACGTGGGTGACGCGCTTGGCATAGAGGGCCCACAACGGCTCACGACGAGCAGCTGAATCCTGAATCCTGAATTTAAAATCTGTATTAGGGAACGCGCTTTTTGCAGGCAATCGGTGATAATTTTGATCATCATTGTAACAGTTGGAGATTTGTGATTTGTGACCTATTAAACATTGATAAAGTGTTCATTTATGCAGATTCATAGAAAAAATTACAATCGTTTGGCTTGTTTAGAATTAAAATCCATCCGCTATTTACAGAGTTATAAGTGGTGAAAACCT